AGAATTCAAAGTCGCGTTGATATGTTGCAGTTGCCCTCTCGGTACCACTGAAGACGCATCTTCAGAAATAATATTATACTGAATGCATGAATAATATTTTTATGCGCGGAAAAATTTAATTCTAGTTCTCCAAAAAAAGATTTATGTACTACTCCTTTTTTTGGACATCCCATAGTTTTAATTGTCGAGGACATCAGCGAAATAATTAAAATAAAAATAGAGATATACGGCAATTTTTGTTTTTGTGATATGTTTAATTCAAATGTATACACATTATAAATGCATTTAAGTGCATGAATATTTATGTAAAATTCGCTTAGAAAAAAGCAGATCGTAAAAAAGACATGTTTTAAATAGTTTAAAACAAATTTAATTGATGTTTTTAACATGTTTTAAATGTTTTTTTTAAATAATACTGTTTAAAGTATGTTTGAAGCATAAAAAGACAGTTTAAAGAAAAACAAAATGTTTTATTAAAAAGGAAACATTAGTTCTTTACCAACTCTAATAGAAAGTCGTTATCAAAGACAAACTCCATTACCATATTTTCAACATAACTAAATATAAATAACAAATAAGTAAAAAAAAGCACATTATTTTAAATCAGCGTCGATTATGCTTCACATTTTCAAAGTCATAGCGACAATTTTTCATCGTAATAGAAGTTCATAAACCGTACAAAAACCTATTAATCAAAAGTTCCTTGCGGATTTAGGAACTTGTCATGGTGGTTTGCGCAATCTTGCTCGAACATATTCTGTATGCCATGACTGTTCCTGACCCCTCAGGAATAAGATTAATTAACGTTAACGAAGAAATATTAAACCCGATTGCGCAAAGGTGGGACTATTGGAAAGTATAGCTTGCGATAAATCGTCAAACGATAAGATAAGCGGCAGGGGCAGTTCAATGGTTGATGATGAATGAACTTGTGAATAAATATCGAGAAACGATGAATAGCTCGATGAAAAGTCTCGTGTTGTTAAAAAAAATATTCGTAAATAATACATCAAAGACTTGATGCAATCTTTTATATAGATATAGGGCGATTGGTATATCAAACATTTAATCCCAATTTTCAAATTTGAGAGAAAAATCTTTTTGCAACACATACAGTTGCAAAATATCGAGGCATCAATAGTTTCTGAATTATAAGTGATTAGAATTTATTTTAGAAACAAAAACAATATGTTGTAAATTTAAAATTTTATTTCCTTATTTTCAAAAACAAAGTTTTTTTTAGCAAGATTTTTTAATCTCGAGGTCATAATTTTTAATGTTAAAGTTTAAAATATTGTAAAACAATAATCTTTAACAGCTTTTCTTCATTAGTCTTAAAAATGAGGTATCTTTTTAATGTTTTACGCGATAGTTACGAATCGTCTTCTACAGTATCTCTGAAATTAGAAATAAATTGAATAAATAATCGCAAGAAACTGGGACACCATATATCATAGTTATAAACAATTAATTAAAGAAATGATTAATGGTTTTGTAACATATGTAGATGATAATCGGAATATTTGAATACGCGTATGTATCCCAAGAAAGCGAATTTGGGTTAATGTTGAAAAAGTACGTATACGACGGAAACAATTTTCTAGACTGTTTCCTCCATATTTTATGTCAAAACAATTAAGAAATCACTTTTTCAAATGTCCGTATTACTAAGTAGATTACTAAATGTATCAAAAGCTTCTTTTATAATTAATCTGGTTTGAATATTCAATAAGTAGTTCCTTAAAATATCTGAACTGAATATTCAATAAATAGTCCCTTCTCTAATAGAAACGTAATGTATAAACCTAAATACTGAGCAAAATTGATTAAAGCATTAATATTTTTCATATTTTCCAAAATGTACGACGAGTAGTGTTGCATATTTTAGCTTTAATAAGGAAAAAATAAAAGCGCATGCAATTTAATAATGTCTCTTTTAAACACAATAACGAAGCCAAAGGAATATTTCTTTTTAATAACCTGAAAAAAAAGTTATTAATGGACATATTTTAGAAATAATTACATACAATTGCACACATAAAATGTCAATTTTTTATATATAATTATGTATGAAACATTTTTTTTCCGGGAATATATTCTCTCAGAGATCACTACTCGACAGGTTTGCTCAACCCTAAGAATTTTCGATATTACATCGTACTTTTTATAAATTATATCAAAGCTAATTAAAATACAGTTTGGAATTATTCCAAAAATGTGCTTTTGCAAAGAATCTTTCTATTTTTTTTCCCAATCGAACCCAGAATTAATTAAACCGGCGTCAGTATTATTGTCCAGAAAGAAATTAGTTCGTCAAACTCATTAAAAAAAAATCTGTCAGTAAAATTGAGATTGAAATTCGCAAGAAGCGTACATAATATTTTTATCGATTGTTGCGTATCTAGATTCTGTAATTTCGTAGTGAAGGAAAATAGGTGATGTCGGTGTACAAGCAACTGAAATATTTTCGTCTCCCTAGATTGAGCAATTTTCGCAGAGTGCAAGCGCGGCGTCGTGACCGACGTCTACACCACACGGCCTCGTTAAAACAGCGCACCTCAGTTTCGCTGAGTCTGCCGGCGCGTTCGCATCCTTCCGCACGGAAGGAGATCGGCGCTATATTCCGCTCCGTCAGGGGTGTTTTCACCTCCCTGCGGAGACCGGAGTCCGAGCAAACATCGTAACAACTCTAAGGAATACTATCGCGCGGATCGACCTACACTCAGGTTCGCAAGAGTGCTTGAAGAAAAAAGAAATGAACACAGAGAGATGTGGTTTGAAAACTTTGTGAAGTCGCGCGAACTTTATGCATCGCAAAAATGTAATCTTCAATATTTTGCTTGGCGGAGTTTTACGTGTAAATATCGTCGTCGACAATTTTTTTCTCCGGTAACTAGAAGGTAATAACTTTGCGTGTTATTGGAATTTTTAGTGGTTGCTCCAGTTATGTAAGTAAATGGTTTTAAAAAAGTTAAACATTATTTTCGAAGCATATGATAAAATCAAAATTTGATTTGTCGGCCAAATTTCAATGAAAAATTGTCATTTCTATGTGTAGTATAATATTAAAAAATATTTTTATGAAATTTGTACATAAATATGTATACATTTAATTTATACAAGTAAAAGTGTCACACCTAATTAGAAACGTTTAAACAATAAGCAATTAAGTACATGTTATGTATATTTAGTGTACGATAATTCATTTAATTAATATCATAAATATTAGATCTTTTTTTTTATTACAAATAAATATTTTTTATTTATACATATATTTATCTTTGTATATTTTAGAAATAATTTTTAAAAGAAATTTTAAATCAGGACAAAATTTTTTCAATTAGAAATTTTAATATAACAAATATTTTTAGAGTGTAAAAGAGAGATGCTATAAAAAACCTCTGCATTATTAGAACAGATTGAAACATAAAAGAAAATTAAGTCCAGACTATTTTCTTTGTTGGATGGAAAGTAAGAAAACTCGGAAAATGCGTCTGTTTATAGTGAAAGATGAACTTAATTTCGTGGAGTGTTTAGCAAACGTAAAATTCGGGTTATTTTCAACATTTTTCCTTAGTCTTATCTTTATAATCACGCCGAAAGAAGAAAAAATACATAGATCCGAAGCTAATTATAGTATAAATCTATTTAAATATTAAATTCGTATAAAAAAAAGTCTTTTATTGCATGATAGGGTAACTTCGATATATACGCCGCACCTGTCAAAAACTTAATTTATTAAGTATTATTTACTATGTTTAAAGTAAACAAATTATATCAGTAAAAACTTTGTTCTATCTATTATTATGAAAAAAATATTAGAAATCCGAAATATTTATATTTCGTATTGAAAAATAAACTTTTTTAAACTCTTGCATTTTTGCCGTATATCCCATAGGAGTGAGATATATATGGCTACTCATAGAGGAAGTATATATAGGAAGGGGAGTATATATGGCTCACAAAAAATTTACAAATAATACATATAAATAAGACATAAAATGACACAATAACTTATAAAATTTTATAAAGTTTTATTAAGGAATAAGAATGATAAATATGTATATGAAGTAATAAATAATAATTACAATCTTCTCAGATGTACTGCAAGTGTTATGACATGAGGTACATATTTCATGTAATGCGTTTATTATATTTAGTGCACTAAATTCAATCTGTGTATTTGTATGCTTATAAATCCCGCTTGTTAAAAATACCATACATCTCAAACAGATGAGATCTACAAGATAACAAAGAATATAGAGCAAAGTATTTGTATTTTGTTATACAACATACTTACTATTCCTCTACATTCACGAAATAACCACTAAGTCTTTTGCACGTCCTACAGTAATCATTTTATGTAGATAATTTATGATAGCGTTACTTAACACAGTGACAAATCGTTCAATTCACAATAATTTCATTAATATTAACAGTAAGAAACTGAAATCATAACACAATACTAATATAACATAAAGGCAACAGAGTAGTGTGGGAAAATTATCCTCATTCCTTCTATTTTTTTCTGACTTCTACGACGTAAATTCCAGCGTGGCATATTTGCCGAAGTTACCCTATGCTTTATGCAAGCGTAAAATCCCAAGTACTATAGACGCTTCTGACAGTTTCACCTCTATATTTTGCCGCACTGAAAATTCGGAATGATGCCGCAAATATGAACAAGGTGTGTAAATCTGTCTAAATATTTGATTCAAAACGTATATACAGGAAATAAGCGTATAATCTTGCGATGTAGCGGCATATATTCGCTAAGGAAGACCATTACTATTATGAGCCAACCGGGAAAGGAAGCCCACGCGATTGTTCATTGTGAAGTGACTAAACGTGACCGTACCTTCATAGGTAACGTTAAAATTTCATTGCGCATTTTCGCATTTACGTCTTTCAACGAGAGAGAGAGAGAGAGAGAGAGAGAGAGAGAGAGCGACAGCGCGGTGGTGACAGCGGGGAAAAGGTGGGTGTGTGTGTGTGTGTGTGTGTGTGTGTGTGTGTGTGAGTGTGTGGGCGAAAAACCGGGAACGAATATTATGAGCTTCTCGTTCAGAACTCGTGATTGAATTTAACGAGTTGTTTTGGCAATCAGCCCCGCGAATAACCACGATGCATATCGCAATGAACGAGATCCATGCAACACGACAATAAATCAGCACGACGTTATACGGTAGCCGATACAGCGAATTCAATGGGGTTTGCATTCGTACTTGGAACGGAAATTTATGCAGTCAGCTTTTCTCTGACGGCGTATCTAATGCGTTTGTCCTCGACTGTAGAGACCGATCCATCGGGAGGTGACGTGAATTAGACCTCTCACGTCCAGAATGGGAGAAAGAGGATTTATTTCGCACATTCAACTTTTAATTAATCATACAATTGATCGTTAGTATCGTCAATAATGGACCGCACATCGCGTACGAAAGTTAAATTAATCCTCGATATATATACATGTGCACACTGAGGGAAATGTTTAACAGATAACCATTTATTTTGTAGATATGTGATTAACGAAAATTTTCTTACTGTTTCATTTTTTAGTTAAAATAATTACATTTTTATAACAAAGAGTAAAATAACAAAAATTCTGTTAGATTAAATTCGCAATTTGATTAGATTAATCAAATTTTGATTAGAACAGCACAATTTTTAAATAAAAAAAATAAAAAAGTTTTTGTTAGTCACGTATCAATAAAATAAATATAGTTATACGTATTAAACATTTCCTTCGGTATAATGTCTCACACACTTATAATACATACATACAACGGTTCAATTTCCGTAATTCTTCCGGAAGCGTATATATTTTCCGTTTGCATAATTAATTGTATACCTCGATCGTCTCACGTTCGATTAGAATCGAAAACGTGCGAATCGCGTTACAAAATAGTTTTACAAATACAAATGCCATTGAAATGCCATGAAATAAAATTTATGTACTAAAATAGGAAGTAACTCGTATGAAAGGTACAACGGGTCGTTTCAATTATATCCGACGGGGTCGTGAAAGTTTTACGAGTAAGTGTCTCGTTGTTCACGATGCAATAAAAGAGTAGAGAGAAAAAGAGGAAACTTTCTAACAGAACATTAGCACTTTTTTATTGGTTAGCAGTTTTTACGGTTAGGTGGGAAATAACAATAAAAAGTTTTCGATAAGGATCAAAATTGCATCGTTATTTTCTTCACCGACAGTTAAAAAAGACTTTAAAAGTGAGATCATTATGTCAACGTAAACTGAAAGACGAAGATTAATCTTAAACAGTGTAATCTGTAAAACAAAACTTGGAGACTAATAAGATTAGCTCCGATAACCAACTGAGTTTGTAGTAATTATTAAAAAGATAATAAATAGCACACAAATTATACTTATAATACCTTCTCATTACGCAAAATGTAAATGTCATTACATAATGATATTACACAGGAGTGTTAAATGATCCGTAATATCTCATATTACAAATAATATTAATGATTTTATGTCTATATTAGCAATATAACATCTACAGTATCAATATTGTTAAAATAACACATTGTGTCAACAATATTATTTATGTATTTGAACTGTTTTAATATTAGGTGTTGGAATTAATTCGTAGCGTTTTTTTAATGAAAGAATGTTATTTATTTCACATGAGCATTAAAAAATACATTAATGAAAGTACTTCCCATCACTTTCTACTACTTTTGACCATCTTTCGGGCAGTGAATGAATACCGCGTCGGAAGAACTGTTCATCTTTAGATGAAATCCAGGAATCGAACCATTTTGTACAATCTTCGTAAGATGTGAACTTCTGCTCGCACAAGCTATGAGCTAATGATCGAAACAAGTGGTAGTCGCTAGGTGCAATATCAGGAGAATACGGCGGGTGCGGTAGCACTTCCCATTTAAGTGTTTCCAGGTATGTTTTTACCGGTTTTGCAACGTGTGGGCGAGCATTGTCGTGCAGCAAGATGACTTTATCGTGTCTTTCGAAGTATTCCGACCGTTTTTGCTTCAATGCACGGCTCAAGCGCATCAGTTGCCGTCGGTAGAGATCTCCAGTAACGGTTTCATGCGGTTTTAGCAGTTCGTAGTATATGACACCCTTCTGATCCCACCAAATACAGAGCAGGAGCTTTGAGCCATGGATATTGGGCTTTGCCACTGATGTTGATGGTTCGCCGGGCTTAACCCATGACTTTCTGCGCTTTGGATTGTCATAATGGATCCACTTTTCGTCACCGGTAACAATCCGATGCAAAAAACCTTTTCTTTTCTGCCGTTGAAGCAGCAGTTCGCACGTGAGAAAACGTCTCTCAATATCCCTTGGTTTCAATTCATATGGGACCCAATGGCCTTCCTTCTGGATCAGTCCCAAACTTTTAAGACGTTTTCCTATTGTTGAGAAGTCAACTTCCAATGACGTAGATAATTCTTTAAGTGTTTGACATAAGTTTTCATTGAGCAGTGCCTGCAAATCGTTATCTTCAAATTTTTTCGGCTGACCAGGTCGCTCCTTGTCATCCAAGTCGAAATCACCAGCTTTAAAACGTGCAAACCACTTCCTACACGTTTGCTCAGCCAGAGCATGTTCACTATACACATCCACTAAAATACGATGAGCTTCAGCTGCACTTTTGTTCATATTAAAGTAATGAAGCAAAACTCCCCGCAAAAACACTTTATCTGGCATAAATTTTGACATATTCAATGAATTATACAGTATTGTTATTTATGATTTCAAGAAAGGTTATGTACGGCAAATGACGTCCTATGATAGATGTTTACAATGTATACAGAACTATAGGTAACAACGAAATAGTGTACTGCTTGTGCCATCTCTTGTAAAACGCTACGAATTAATTCCAACACCTAATATAATTAGGAGTATATAATTTGAAAAAGACGAAAATCTTGATACTGATTCTTCTCCAATCCAATTAATAATCATCCTTAAAATTTAAGAATGCATAAAAGATTTAAAAGTTTCGAAATTTTTTTATCTTTATTGACTGACATACAAATAATTATCGATAAGACTACGCAAAAGTGAAGTCTGTAGTATCTCAAAATTGCCGCAAAAGTATTTATTTCTTTGTAATATTATAAATTTCTATTGATAAAAATTGAACTAACAATTCACATTCCATATTTTTCATTCCGCAAGCCATTAGAAATAAAAAATTCTTTCTAAATTTAACTTAGAAGCAAATAGATAATCAACTATTTTCTCTCATTCAGTTTAAAGTGAAGTTATTTTACGCACGGGAAATATGATAAGATATCTTGAATTACGGTATAAATAAATGAATTATGATTTATGAGATACGACGTTAAGAAAAATGGAATTGAGCTGTACCTGAGCTGTAATCTATATGCAAACGGCTTTTCTGAACTTACGATATAAATTAGTCATAGCTATAATATTTACCTTTAATAAAATAGATCGATAGAAGTTAGCTGATTATATAAAGTTCGGTATTAAATTAAATATACGCGAAGAAGTAAAATATGTTAATGACATACATTTTGTTAATAATAATTGTTAATAACAGTAACAATCTAAATTGTTACACATTGGATGTTTTTCATTTGGTGGATACAAGTCGAGACAATTCAATAAAACAAACTGACGTTATTTGTCATTATTTTATTCATCAGTCAAATGATATTAATGTTAAAATGACATATTAATATTAAAATGACATTTTTAACATTCATTTAACATATCATTCATTAATATAAAAATAAACGGCAAATAATGTTAGTTTGTTTGCTAAAAAGTATCATTCTGTCTTTGCTATCTATGGAATGCCAAGGGAAACAGAATGACTTATATCATAGACGGAGAAAGCAAACTTTATGTCTTTTATATTTCTGTATATACGTAACGGAAATCGCATTTCTTGGATATTTATTACGAATTGAAAATTATTGGTAAAAAACAGTATCTTGCGAGAAATCGTCTTTGCACATTTCATCTTACATCTCTAACGTTCTAATTCAATAAACTCTAGCGATAGATACCGCCGGTCTATTTCACCGTCGACTACTAAGCTTTTAGCATCATACAAAAAGACCTTATATTGAATTTACCGACAAACAAGATGATATTATGCAATTACGATAAAACAGCATAGATTTGATAATTCCATATTAATCAGTGTCTGAAATAATAATATCATAAATTAACATAACAACAAAACATTTTAAACACAAAAAGTTCGTATTGAATTTACAACAAATAAAATAAAAATGACATGTAATTATAGAAAAACTGTTCAGATTTAATAGCTTCATGTTAACCAGAATAAAAAATAGTGATATTATAAATTAAATACAAATTTCAAACGTTCACTTATTTTATTCAAATCGTTTACTAATTTTATTTGTTTTTACCGTAAAACGTCTGCAAACTCTAAAAGTTTGAAATGTATAAATTCAATTGGTGAGACTAACTGTGAGGATAATGAGAAGAAATTTTTCACTTTTCACATTTTCGCCCTAGGGAGAAAGTTACATAATAGCTTGATTGATATTATTCGAATGATTATGTCACTCTTCCCTATCACTTGCGAGATTTCAAGGTATTTTATCAATTATGTATCAATTTAATTAAATATCTAGGATGTAACGCCGATTCGCACGTTTATTCGTGTATAACTGACTTGGTGATGTGTTTTTAATTTATCAATTATTGTCTAATTAAAGAATTCCAAAACAAAGTTAAAAAAGAGAAAGGCAAAGTCTCCTGATTTATGAAAATTGATTTAGATGAAGCATATTTGAATATCTCATCTATAAATATTTTATGCCTGTCTGAACGCTATGATTAAATTAGGAAAATGCGGTTTGGCAGGTAAATCTACTTTTTCAGATCTTGCAAGTTGAACATCCATGACATCCAGCTAGGAAATGTATTACAGTTAGGAACACACCTGAAGATATTCAAGCACAGTATAGAAATATTGTATTTCTATATAGAAGATAAATTCAATTTCGACAAATATATATACATATGTTTTTTATCGCGCATAATAGAAGCTGTTTATAATCGCGCTTTGAAGAGCAGAATGCCCGCGCCAAAGAAATTCTATGTTAAGGTCATACAAGCATAGTCGCTTGTGAAAGAGAGGGTGAACTTTAAAAGTGTAGTTCAACATTGTGGAAATATCACTTCAGCGACACTTCAGCGCTACGTTTTATCTACATTCAGATTTACATTCGTGTGTTCGCGATTTATTTTACAGGTTGTTTGACTAAATCCCATCGTGACGCAACAATGTAGTATCACTGTAATGGACATTTTACACTCTGTTACGTTAATACGATCGATAATTCGCCTAATAATTAATCCACCCTAATTTCGTCAGTCAATGAATCCACGATGCTGATAAAACATCGCGCGTAACTGGAAACGGATCGCAATTGAATCGTTTTCACGTGTACATTTAATTGTGTTAACTGCGCACGAGCGACGATTTGCAGTGAGATATTATGACACAATAAGATTGAATAAACATGAATCTCGCTGTGATGATTATCATCTGGCTTGTATCGGTGACGCCACGTTTATGTGACGCACTCGACGAGGATGGGATCGATTATTATTCGTTCGCGGACAATGATGGCAACTTCGAGTACACCAACGTTACGAATTGCACCAACGATTACTGCATCCCGGACGAGGATTACATCGAGTTGATGGTGCAGCACATATTTCCGAAATTTACTGACTGGGTGCTCATTGCAATGCACAGCGTCGTCTTCATAATCGGCCTAATTGGCAACGCACTTGTCTGCATGGCCGTCTATCGCAATCACTCGATGCGTACCGTGACTAATTATTTCATCGTCAATCTGGCGGTGGCTGATCTTCTCGTTCTGCTGATCTGCCTGCCGCCGTCGGTTCTCTGGGACGTCACGGAGACTTGGTTCCTCGGATTAAAACTCTGCAAAGCCGTGCCGTATCTTCAGGTAAGCGTTTTCACCCGGTTAAGAATTATCGAAACATTTCCACATCTTGGTTGTTCAATTGATCGAATCGATTTCCAAGGCAAAACGATTATAAAGTTCGTTTTTACAATATATGGTACCTAAAGATTAAAAATAACCAAGAAATTCCAAACCAAGAAATGAATGAATTTCATTGATAAATGTGAGTGATAACCTTTAATCTTTAGGTAACCGTATATTATGAAATTGGATCTAAGAGAGTTTAAAAATGTCAAAGAGAATTTCAAAATGTTAATTGACTTTATATTCATTGCACACGCGAGAAAATCTTACGATTCGTTTAACTTTCTTATTTTAAAATTTATCAAATTACGAAACTTAATTAAGATTATGAGAAGCAATGAGACTTCCGTATCACTTAATATATAGGGTGTCCCAACTTTTTGACACATCGCTTGTGAGTAGATCGATCGGACTGAGTCCTTGAAAAGTCCTTTATTATTTTGCCATTTTTGTAATGAGATATTAATTTCTGCAGAGAAAGATTGCTGGAATAAGCGGATAAAATCAATGTATAAGATAACTTTAAAATATCTTAAAATTATTTATGTATCTCGATTTTAAATATTCTGCTTATTAGATAATTAAAAAAAGATTGTGAAAATTGTAAAATAATAAAAGACTTTTCGATTCAATTAAGTCCGTTCTATCTGCCTACAAGTCAAAAAGTTTGGGACACCCAATATACTAAATGATACGGAAGTCTCATTACTTCTCATGATCTTAATTAAGTTTCGTAATTTGATCCAGTTTATTAAGGTATCCATTTTCGAGGAGAATTAGAGAAGTGTTTGATTCGCAAATTGTCCCTATTTGCACGTAGATAAGTTGAAATTATTTCCTTTCAGCAATAGATTCTTGTACGACTTATTACTTAGAGTCTAGAATCTTGAATTTCCTATACGCTACAGAATTATTTGAATAAACGAAATTGTCTAAAAATTCTCATTTAAAACGTCAAACGCCAAAATCGAAAATCGTTTTTCTGTATTACGCTATGATATTTTTTAAAATAAATTTTATGTCAATTTTTTATTATTAGATGGACATTGCGATTTGCAATTTAAATAATTGTCATGTTGCGATTTAATGATTACAATTATATATTATAATTATCTCTTTTTTTAAATTTTGATTTATCTTTTTTTATCTCAAAAGAGATTGTATTCGACGAAATGAAGATGAATTTTTTTTTATTTTCTAAAATTTGTTCTAAAGACTTTTGAAGAGGACGATAAAAGACTTCTCCAAACTACGTGTGGAATGGAAACTTCCTGAAATACTTCTTTATGTAGAAACAAAAAACCTAAACGAAAAACTTCATGAATCTCCTAGTTCTCGCATGTACGTTTGTCTAGAAACTTACTTAGATGTAATCTCAGTCTCTATATCATTCGATTTAATATCCCACAAAGTATATTCCGACAGCACGGATTTTGCGAACACATTGATTCGCGATTTACGTGATGAAACTGACAAAAACTCCGACGCATTTTCTGTTAGACGCGGTTTCCCCGAGAGCGGCTTCTCAGAAAACACTCTGATATTCCCAAACCATCTCGGAATTCGCAATTACCACGACACGGAAGTCAGGCGGAATATATTTTATAGGCGAGATTAGCTTCTGTGCATCTCATTCTGTTTTTGCACGATTCCACCCCATCGATCGTTGCACTTGTCACAATGTCGAAAAATAAAATTGAAAATCTTGAAACACAACTATTGGTATTCATCGCATCAGATATTTCAGGTAAAAGCTTTGATTTTATTTTTCGACGTTGTGATATAATTTTAAATTTATAATTCAAATAATTTATCGCCTTTTCACATATTTGTAAAACTGATATTTAAAGCGCCATGTTTTAGAATTTAATATTATAATATAATTTTATTAATCTTATAAAATAACAATGAAGTGAATGAGAAGTGACAAAAAGTTTTAAGCTTCAAACGGTTTATGTACAATTTTTTCATTTTCCTTTTTGTACGTACTCGATCGTGTATATGAAAGATTTATTTTTAAAAATTTTCTCTTGCTTTTCCTGGAAATACAAATATATGAAAATGTGTTCCCCAAATATATGAATATGTGTCATGCAAAGCATTATGCGTATAAGAGCCGAGTCGCGTTCTGAAAGTTTGTTTTTACATCGAGAATACATGTATTCAGATACTTGTACCAAGACTAATTAATTTCAACTGCACTTGCATTTCATTAACATTTCAATTTTTTAAACGAAATTATAGTTAATAGCAAAAACCAATTAAGTATGCATATGTTGTATGCATATACATATATATATGGTATATACGTAACTTGCATCATATTTAGATAAACAATATAAAATTCAACCACAATATCTCACGGGAGAGAGAGAGTAAAGAATCTTTTTTCTTACTCATGAAAATAAATATTGTAAATGCTATTCTATATTTATAATAATTTCTTAAAAATAATAAAATAGCTGATATATAACATGAGTAAAATAAATTAATTGTTCAGATTCAGAAGTGTTTTTGATTAAAATAGGTAGCATTGCGGCATTTTGAATAATTAACAGTCCGAATAATCGATATTTTATTACGTTTGTCCTCTATAAGTTAAATGAATAGACATAAATAATGCGAAATTGCATCTAATCTATCATATATGTATATGAAGTATATTTATGGAGGCGAACTTTATTTTCTACTAGCACGCAATACTGATGAATCAGTGTAATAAAAATCCTCTTACCTAAGTTTAACTCAATTATCAATTGCATTACTTTGCCGATATTAAGCTTTTCAACAGGCTACGCTATTGTTAATTTGAGTGCATAGTTAATTCTGTTTGCTAATGCTTTGCAGCTGTTAATGAGAGAATCTTCGCAGAAAATTGATCATGCATTTCATTTAAATCCAACGACCGATTAGCTTATTATCGGAATATTTTTTAGAGCATTTATAATTCATTACAAAACATAATTCAATAATTAAGATCTCTGACTTATAATTGTTGTCAAATTGAATTATAATATAAAATTGCGCATTGGTAGATACAAGATGTAATAAATTAATCATTTTTTCTATCATGTTCAAAATTATAAAAAATCTCTAAGATTATACGAAATGTTTTTCCGATTTGTAATATTCAATAAGTAATAAATAAATGGTTTTATTATGTGTGAACATAACATCAAAAATGAATTTACAACATGAAAAAATTGAAAAGTTCATACAAACATTTATCTTATTTTCAAGTTACAGAAGTTTCGTGTTTCATTTTCATTACAAACTAAGGTAGCGTAGCTTCATCATTCCGGTCTTTAAAGAAATTAGAGAGAGAGAGAGTAAGATACGTGAAGATGTACGAAGATTCTATGCTTAATTCAGTATATAATTAACGAACACAAAAATATTTGTAACTTGGGTACAAGATCAAATAGAAATACAAAAAAATGTTTATAAAAACTTCTTGTTATTTTTATGTCTCAAACCTATTTCTGAAATTATACCTACATGTTATGAAATACCCAAATATTTTTGTGTGTACAATAACAAAAATTGAAAGTTGAAAAAATTAAGAAAATAATTATACAATAATAAAATTAATATAAATATACGTAACTATAGAGCGATTATAAAACTAATAAAAGTAGTCGTCTTGAAAGATATTTAAATGTAATATGTACATTTGTAGATATAATTTGATGTTATCTATGTAATTGAAAAGATATAAAAGATATAAAAAACATAGAATAAATCGATAAAAACATCGTGGGTCTGAATGCGTCTCGTCATCGTGTTATATATTAAGTATCTGATAGTTTCTCAAACTGTGCGATAGATGGCCAGAGGAGCTACATTTATCTTGTATTTAACTTCCGACTGGCGGGATTTATAAGACACAACGTATGACGGGCCGAGCAAAAAGGGTACTCGCTACTTCAATAGCGCATCGCGTCGATTTAACGTCGGCATGGTGGGGTATGGCTATCAAGACATACCCAGTACGTAATTTTTGGGAATGCGAGGCTGTTGGCTGCCAATAAGCACCGGCGCCTCCACCTTATCTTACTCATAAATACGTAAATGTTTGAAAAATTATCATTGTCTCGTTGAATCTCAATTCGCCTTTTAAAAGACTTTTATTGCGTGAATAAACGTAGTGGAGTATATATGTTAAATAATGTAACGCCTGACATAAAGAAGAGTACGTAGAGAAAATAAATTTCAAGATGTTATGATCTTTTCATGAAAACTTTGATGCAATTTGCATACATATCTTTAAACATATTAAATGCATAAACGTACGTATATGAAATATTTATGTGAAGCTGACTAAAACTAGAACTCAAAAAGAAAATTTTGCAAGATGCTATTAAATTCTTCTGAACTTAGGTTTTGTACATATAAAATATGTATACATATTAATGTACTGAATACTCAATCGCAATTTTATATTCGATTAAGAGAGAAGTACGTAGTATTAAAACTTTTTTTATGTAAAAATATATAGAATAAATACATATTAATATATTAAAAAATTTTCTTCCGTATTTAATTAAAAATTGAATTTAAAAAAAAAACCGCGATTTTTTTAATCAACTAAATTGATGGCTTTTAAAAATATGTAAAAAATATTTAAAAAATATTTGACGCTATTGATTATTCGTGACAGTATTGAGAACCTGTCTTCGTATAAAAGAATAAAACATTTTTTTTCTGGAAAATTAAATTTTTATATTAAAAAGTCGATACTTTTTTTTTATTTTAAAATGATAAAAGCACAACATTATATTTAAAAAAGAGTTAATTTTTTTTTATAATCTTCAAACAACTTTTTGACTCAATCGTTTTCTGTTAGCTTTAAAAATAGAAATGCTGAATTTTTTATTCGTACTTTAAAAGTCATTGTTGAAATATGTTAATATCTTACTGCGAGCAAATTAACTAAGTTATCAATGCTCTATTATTTA